TATGGACCCGGGCCACAACTCTAGGGTTCGATTCTTGCTTCTGCCTCCCTGTCTGACCTAGTCACCCTATGCCCAAGTATTCTCGCCTACAGATCAGATACGGCAATCGTACCGACACCATAAGCTGGTGGGGACGAGATGAAGTCGTCCCAACACCATAAGCTGGTGGGGACGAGATGAAGTGTTTGTACACACAGTGCTCACAACAACGCCGGGTACACAGTGGGCACAGTATCAGCCACTAACACTATGGCTACTGTTTTCCAACAGGAAAACAAGACATGTCCTGAAACGTTTACAGGACATGGTCATCCAATGTTTAACTCAGGATTCAGGAATGGTAACTTTCAGCCTCACTGCAGGTAACAACGTGCAGCAAATGGAAAATGCTCGCTTTGGTTTTACAGGAATGCTGTTCACTCCGTCTGCCTGTATGTCAGACGCTGGTTTACCAGGAAGATGAAGTTGCTGTGTGAAGCGGTTTTCCCAGGAGGTGGGTCCCCAGAGTAGCACAGTCCATCCACAGTGGTTTGGGCGGTAACACACTACCGTAATATGGAGATGGCTGTGAAATAAATATTCCAGTATCTAAATTCGCTTTGGTCACTAAGGACAGGATGCCCCAAAGGTGGGACGATCGCTGACAGAGCAGACGAGGGCGCATGACGCCCATTTCAGATGTGGCTGAGCTCAGGACACTCCTTGGGAAGGGGAAGAAGGAAGTCGGCTAGGTCCTTGGAAGGCAGTCCCGACGCTCCGGGGGGCAGGCGGCTCACCCAGGGACACCAGGTTGCTGTAGTTCTCCAGCATCACATCCCAGTACAGGTCCCTCTGCGAGGAGTCCAGGCACGCCCACTCCTCCTGCGAGAAGTCGATGGCTACATCTGAGAACGTCACCAGACCCTGAGAACACAAACCCACACGTCCCTGATGAGATGAGGGAGCACAGGCTCAAGATGAAAGACAGGCCAGAAAGGGCTCTGTGCTGGGTCGGGCTGGACATGGACAGGACGCGGTGGGGACAGGACGCGGTGGGGGCTGTGACCGCAGCAGGGCCGGGCGGCTGAAGAGAAAACCCCACGGCCTGTGGGATGCCTCGTACACTCCAACTGTCAATCCTGGGGCTCCTCCTGAGTGCCTGCCCCATAACACCTCAGCAACTGTGGATTCCTGGGGCACCCTTTCCATCCTCCAAGGGAAGGAAAATGCCTAGGGTTTTGTCTCCGAAATGTGAGCTCTTTTACCTTCGAAACTAGGGCTCATGTGTCGGAATGTTCTCAAGCCTCATGCTCATCATTTGCTAAGACTTTAAGCAGTCTTCCTACGTAATGAGCAGCATTTTCTTATTCCCTCGTGGGAACAGATTAAATTTACTACAGCTGTACACCTAGGTATAACCAGACATCCGGGGTTTTCCCCAATTCTGGGAGTAGATGATCATCCAGGACTTCTGTACTGGGTGACCTTCTTACCCGTCGCCACCCACCACCCCCGCCTTTTCCCCGTTCCTGACTTAGGATACTGGTGCAGATTCATGTGGATGGGAGTGTGGGTCTGGCAGGTTTCCTCAACAACACAATGCATCTCCTGGGTCCCCTGGTAACACCACGGCCTCGCAGGCCCTAAGCACAGCCCTATCCGACCCCAAAAGCCTCCTGGAGCTCGAGCTCTCACCGCACACTGACACTGACCAGACAACGTGAACGTTCCCTTTTCTCGGCCTGAAAAAAGACCAGTGGAGAACGGGGAGAATTTTAGTTTTTGCATGTGGTCACATGGGACCACCACCTCCAACTCCTCAAACCACAGACGTGGCCCAAGTATTTCTCTCAAGGGACTTTCCTCCTCCGCTGCTCCTCCGTTACTCCTGACAAAAACGTGAGCACACAGGAGACAGTGAAATCACTGGCTTGGGGGTGAAGTGACCATTAGCCATGCGGGGGCACAGGGCTGTATGGCATTGTCGTTCACCAGAACGGAAGACCCGAGGTGGTGGTTGGGGGGGCAATTACAGGGGCCTCAGTCGGGCAGGAGGCTTCAGGATAACTCATAAAAATATCCACAGGACCTAAACATCACATTTCAAGAAGGAGAGAGAAAAACATACTTACGTGGGCCATAGTTTTAGAATCAAGAACTGATCAGTCCTCTTGGGGTTTCTTTTACCAAAGACACAAAATCCAGAGAAGCCAGAGATATACGAGAAAAAAAGAGGCATTAAAACAAGTGCACCTTGGTCCCCAAATGCCGACATACAACCTTCCTGCTCCTCTGTCTTTGTTTCCAAGCCCCGCCCCCGCATTCCTCTCCCACCATATGCACGTATCAACATGACACGTCCGGAGAGGACACAGAGGAGTCTGCGCAAAAAGGGAAATCGCTCTCCCCGAAACCCCCGGAAACCCAGCTGCACACACACATTAGAGCGGCCTGTAGTTATGGTTTTGCCTTGAAGTCAGACCTACTCTCAGCTGTCATTTCTCAAGATAACTTTTACTTTTTAAATTTTTATTTTTTTAAGTAATCTCTACCCACAGCGTGGGTATGAACTCAACGACCCCCAGATCAAGAGTCGCACGCTCCAATGACTGAGACAGCCAGGCGGCCCTCAACATCGTTTTTTCAACTGCAGCGCACGGACAGTGTCGTGTTAGTGTCAGGAATACGCAAGTCTGTATCTCACGCTGTGCACACA